TCACTGCAGCCCTCCACCAGTCGGGGCTTTATGGCAGAGTGGCCCGAGCTTCTGTTTCAACCATCAATCAACAGCCATTTGATTCACTGAACAGATCAAGACGTGGTCATTTCAGTATTAGTGCAGCTTTATAATGGATGTTTAAAGTAAAACAATCCACTTAACCAAATTTTCCCCTTGATGGTTTGTTCATTCTAACGTCCAGCATCTATCCACTGAGGGCACCCTAACCTGAGCCTCCTTCCATGTGTCCTCATCTACCTCTGAGCCTCCTTCCATGTGTCCTCATCTACCTCTGAGCCTCCTTCCATGTGTCCTCATCTACCTCTGAGCCTCCTTCCATGTGTCCTCATCTACCTCCGAGCCTCCTTCCATGCGTCCTCATCTACCTCTGAGCCTCCTTCCATGCGTCCTCATCTACCTCTGAGCCTCCTTCCATGCGTCCTCATCTACCTCTGAGCCTCCTTCCATGTGTCCTCATCTACCTCCCTATCCAGTTGTCTTGTTGTAGTAACATTGCAGTCTGTCCAAAGCATGAATGCTGAGAACGTCCTGCATGACCGTTCAGGTGAATGACCAAACACTTTCCAATTGTGTGTATATTGTCTCCAGCTATAGAAAAAAATGAATAAATATTTAATCATTACATAGCGATAGATCTAATGTGCACATACTTATCTCACATGTTCATATCATTTACACAGAATAAATCATGTGCGTATCGTTTCATACTTATCTATAGATTGCTCTCCAACATCAAATGCTGATTCAACATGTCTATGACCACATTTGCCACATTATATTATTTTTTAGCTGTAAATAACGATGAGCCAGTTTCCCCATGGTGATCATCACACTCAGCATGGTACACTTTTAAGATCCTTGTGAATTAGTTTCTGGAGTGCAATAACGTCTTCTCATATTCCTAGATGAATTAAATCCGTACAACACTGGCTGTTCCGTGTTTGTCCACCACTTCCCCTGAGCGATCACGCATGTAATTAAGACCTGTCTAAAAACACAGGATCCTTGGTGTGACAGCACAGATAGCACAGATTGATGCCAAAGGAATTACTTTGATCAAATAAATGGCCGTCTCTTTGAGTGTAATGGTATTGTGAAAAACACTATTCAGCCTTCAGCACCGCTGTGACGAGAGGAAGCAATCTCCACAACTCAGTGTAATTAGGACCCCAGAGACGCTTGGAAACCTCTCCTGCAGCATGCAGCTCTCTGGTTCTACTCTGCTCTAATCTTCAAATACAAATATACAGCCCATCAGTAAACATAGAAACAACATGCACATCACCATTACAAAATATCATCAAGTGAATTACGTATCTCAGCAAGTCATTATGTGGTTGAGAGGATGTCATGTAGATTGAGATTACTTCCTTGTTACAACAGAATAAAAGCACAAGAAAGCATCAGCCAAAGAATGTTCAATATATTTTTATACTGGGAACTGAAAATACATGATATACAAGATTACATTGTAGTCAATGGCGCAATCAGTTGAGGAAGTGTTATATCCCATAACCAGTGCCGCAAGGACAGGTTTGATAGTTTAGTTTCCGTATAGTAATCAGGGATGGACTAATATCTTAAGGCACTGGCCTCACGGGCCGTCAAGTCCCAAAGTACGTATTTGATGGTCCAAATGTAAACTTCCTCAACAACACTTCAATAAATGAATAGACATTACCAGAAAGAATATACATAATTATTTATAATTGAAAACTCAAGTTCTTTGTTTAATTTTGAACTAGAGGTTGGAGATGGTGCGTGAAACTTCACAAAAATAGAACGTTAACGTGAAGAGGCCATAACAATCGTTTTTGTGTCAGTTCAATATAGGCTTCTGAATATTGGTGATCGTATCATATGTCACCAACAATTTGCTTTTCCTGCATCGATAAAGAATTTGACCTAGCTTATGTCAGAACTAACATTTTTCAACATAATTGCATTGCTAGGCAACATCTTGGGCCGATGTTTACTTCCAACCAGCCAATGCCCTTCACATACACGCACCAGAAAACTAGAAAGACCTTTGACTGCCAGATCTAATCGCTTCCTCCTTGAGTCCAAGTGGATCTTTGTGCCAAATATAAAGAAATGTCCTCCAGACGTTCCTGAGATATTGCATTCAGGAGAATAGGACGGCTCGACGGACGTCCAGATGTTTGTGGTGGAGCGGCGCGTCCACGAGAGTAGTTGACGATATGAATAATGATATGGATATTTGGATTGTGATATTAAAGATGAGATAATAATCCTAAACAGAACATGATGCTATGATATGGTCGCACCATGCACACACACACTTTTGCAATTTGTTTGAAGAGGAGACATTGCTATTAAATATTTTTTTATTAATGTTTTAATATTTTAAATACAATGTTCACACTCTTTTATAAATGTGTATTCATGTAACGAACTGTGTTGCATCATAAGTTGCTGAGCCACGCCATCGCCCTCTGGCGACCCGATTGCATATTGCCAACCTTGAGTAACCCCGATCGGACCATATGAAAATAGAGATGATTTAAAATAAAATTACAGACTGAAAGGTTCGAGTTTGGAAAGACTGTAAGGTAACAGATATGCTAGGATTTCATTATCAATATTTTGCGCAAGTTAAAAATCAATCCTGGTACGTACAATTGGATGTTTTACATTTGGCTGCTTACAAAAAGTTGTGCCAGAGTAAAAATGACAGAACATCAATGTCTTCATGAGGTCTTACAATTTGCATTTTGTGACTTAAAAAATATTTAGATTTCAGTTGATGAATTTTAATGTATTTGTAAATTTGGCCTCGACACAAACGTATCAACACGTCAAGATGGTAAATAGACTTGTACAGCACTTTTCTAGTCTTTCCGACCACTCAAAGCGCTCTCACACAACTTGTCATTATTCACCCATTCATACACTGATGGCAGGCTACCATGCCCACCATCAGGACTAACTAACATTCACACACCGTAGGCACAGCTATGGGAGCAATTTTGGGGTTAAGTGTCTTGCCCAAAGACACATCGACATGCAGAGCCGGGGATTGAACCACCGATCCTTTTGATTGAAGGACGACCCTGCTCTCCACTAAGCCACAGTCGCCCCCAAGAGTGAGTTTAACTTTTCAGTAACCCGGCCATTATAAAAATCAGTGCTGCAGGACACAAAAGCAGGAGAGTAATGATGGCGTCATACCTGAGATGAGAGCAGGGTCTGAGGCAGCACTTCAGAGATATGGATGGAGAGAGGAGGACCAGTCCAGTTACTCTGGGCAAACATGTGGAGGCAAGAGACAGCCAGGGCCATCACCGCCAGCTCCCTGCAGCAGGAGAGACAGGACGCACACTGGACTTAGTGGACAGAAACACTGGAGAGAAGAAATGATATCTAAAAGATCCTTAAAGGTTTCAGAATTCAGAAAAACATCCTCTGGGATTTATAGATGCTCACACAATTGTATAGAAAAGCACAGGGACAACAGTCCTTTTCACTCTCCAGGCAATTAGAGGGATTTAAAAACAGGCAACCAATAGCGACATGCTTTGCTGCTTTTCTATTAGGCTGAGGAAGTGATGGAAGGTGATAGAAGAGAAGAAACAGATCCAAAGGGAGGAGGAGTAATATGTGCTGCATTCAACATTTACTCACGGGCAGTTCTCCCCTGAGAGCCGGTAGGGAGATATTAAGCTGTCCTTATTAAAAATGAATAATTCACAAATAAAAGAATAGAGGTGGTGAGAGGAGAACAAACAAGCACTCTTGAGAACAGCTTTGCTACTTTCACCGGCAAACCCGCATCATCAGTTCCACATAGACACTCTTATTTACATATTTATTGTCATTAACAGAATATTACTGGAATCACAATTAGCCATCCATTTTTGCAGTCAAAAATCATGTCAATGTTCACATCTTTTTTATGTTAGCCGTAGAAAGAGGAGCTCTTCTACTCTCCACGCCTCTGAGTGGGGGTGCCTGTGCTGGGACCCCCAACACGACCACAACGTAAACCAACTGGCCCAAGTAACTCGCCTACATGCCAAGGGAAGATATCGCTTTGTGGCAACGTTATTGAAAAGATAACTGCCGCATCATTGAACAGCTAATTTGACAGGAATGACATTAGGTCATTGTTGAAGCTGCACAATAAACATCAACCTTTTGCAATTGCTTTTTTATGCATTTCTTGTTTTAGCTGTTATATTATATTTATTGTTGATTCACTCTTAGGGACTTGTAGCATTACTATTGTTTAAGAGATAATGCAGGTGTATAAACCAATACACCCTGAACAAACAAGCCCAGGCTGACTCTCACAAACAATTACATTCTCTCTCTTTTGTCGTTTGTCATGTATTGATATTGTTATCATATTTCTTGTAAAAACATCTTGTCAATAATATTTGACATAGTCATTTCTTATGCATATTCATTTTATGTTCTTTGTAATATTATATAGGTGGAGGCTTCAAATAAGCCCAGTTGGCTTTTTGCCTCTTCCTGTACTGTGATATACATTTATGTTTGTGCAGTCAATGCAGAGGCATCTGCATAGTCGTGTAGATTACTTTGTAGCGTGAACAGCGTTACTGTTTACCTCAAGACCATCCCAACGAAAGATAAATAACTGCTGCTGGTATAACTTTCCAGTTGTAGAATCCTTCCCATGCATCATAATCCACTGTGTGGCGCTTTAAGGTGTGTGATAAGCCTCAAAGTGAACCTCCTGGATCCGATCCCAATGTTTCACTGGTACCTGAAGCCACACGCTCCCACACCTCTTAAGGTATCTTTTTAAGAAAGCGGATGATAAAAAGAGAACGTATGTTTGACCTGATACTCATACTCTACCTGTGCACGTCATGGGCAACGCAAAATCCTATTTAGTCCATTAAACTTCAACAGTTGTGTTACGTGCCATGTTTCTACACAATTCCAACTAGGGAGTGCAGAGGTGACAGATACACAGATGTGAAATGCTACTGGAAAAAGTCTGATAGATTTGAAAGGATATCACAAACAGAACCCAAGAGATAACATTATGCTTCATCTTAATTTCACACACGTCATCAAGATGACTAGACTTTCACTCTTCCCCCTCTAAAGGACTGGATCCACAGCACCTGATTCTCAGGGTACATCCAAAGTCTCTTAATTGCATCCCCGTTTCCCCTCACTTGCATCTTTTCCTTGCGTTTAGTCGTTTCAGTCCCTCCCACCAGGGATGCATGGAGAGACGCAACCATGCGAGGAGAGAGGAAATATGTTTTAAGAGACATGCGTTGTCCTTTCCTCAGCATCATCACGTGAAGCGATGTCTGTTTCTGATGACGGCGGGTCAGCTGATCACAGCTGGATCAGCCGTCAGTCGGCTTTAACAGCTGGAGAGACTTTTGATAGTTTGTGTCTGCTCACATGATCACTGTACTTATACTAATAAAGACAGTAATCATCACCGTCAGAGTAGTGGTGTGTTCTTTCTGTCGCCAGTTACCCGTTTAACAAACTGCATTGAGTATTTAAACTGTGTTCTGTTTATAAGCGCAGGACCGATTTCTACAGCAGAATGAGTTTGTCATATTTATTTATTAATTGCTTTGAAATTCTGACGTCATTATTAATTAACCCAGAATGTGATTATGGTTTCTCTTGAACACTGGAATTTAATAGGCTCCATGTTTTGGGGAAATTTAAATTATATAACTTATCAAACCCGACACTCAGGAATGATCAGCCTCACGTGACTGAATGAAATGATAATAAATGATGTAAAAACGTATTTCATATCTCAGCTCTCTCTGACTTTAATTGTATCAATAATAAAAGTTATTGAGGGAAATATCAGATCAAGAAAAGACAAATCTTTCTAATAAATGAAGAAAGTTGTTTGTGGTTCTTTTGTTGTTCAGTCTACAATAAACACATTGAAACCAGATGGTGAATCAGAAAACTAATCAAATATGAAACTAGAGTTTAACCTGTGATCTGTCTTCAGTCTGGTATGAAAGTGATGTTGAGAACAATCAGATCAGTCTGATCAGCTGCAGCGTCCAATCACATAACTAATGAGGGGGCGTGTCTTAACGTAAAACACTTCCTGGAAGGCTGATCTCGTGCGTCCTCGCTCATGGCTCCTCAGAGATCCCTCCTCGCTCCTCAGAGCAGAAATAAGAGCTTTGGGACGGCCTTCAATTATGCAGCGCAGAACAACTTCCAGTTCAAGCGAGGAAATGACAAATAAGAGACTTGGGATGTACCCCCAGTGTGAAAAATGGCTTAATTATGTAGTTGATTTGATGGCTGGTGTTCCTCCCTGCTGTATTACCTTTTGGTGTGGTCATCATCAAGGTACTGCAAGACCCGTTTCTCCAGGTAGGCCTCGATGTCCTCCCCCTCGCTGCAGCTGCCATCTCCAGTGAGCAGATCTAACACCTGGGGGCTCAGCAGAACAGCCTCAAAGTCCCCCTCCATCAAGGACTCCAGCAGGGGGCCCGACTCTAGAAGAACACAGCTTAGAGTTCACATTGAGCATGTGCTTACTCGTCAAGTTCAATTCATGCGACCACATGGACACAATGTCAAACACAGTGGCCACATATATATATACATACATACATACATACATACATACATAAATACACACACATGCACACATACATACATACATACATACACACACACACACACACACACACATATATCCGACACTGTGAATGATGCAGGGTATTGTGTGTACTGTGTATTTAAACTGACGCAGACTGAATGCATTTAAGCCTTTAAATCTGAAGAATGTGAACCTCAATAAAGAGATCACCCCAGTGCTCAACAATTGTACTCTTGGTATTGTGTTTTAAATACTAAATGCTCCAAATGGAACAAGAGTGTATCTAGAGCAAGACATAAATTGGTTAACTCTCCCACACCACCACACACTGCGTTGTGTGTTGAGGAGGGCCAGCTGAAGAGGCTGATGGTGAGATGGTGAAAAATATTGATTTATGAAAGGACAGAGGGCAGCTGCTGGGCCGCTGCTTCTCGACCAGAAATAATTGTGGTGTGCTCGGTTCAACATCTCCCAGCCTTTCATTAGCTTTTTATTTGAGGAGGGAGAAGGGCTTGGCTCATTAGCATTGATTGCTTTGTTTTCCCCCAGTGGAGAGAACAGAGAGAGAGAGAGAGGAGGTAAGTAGCTGGTGTTCTGAGCTGCATGACGAGGCCCAGCTAACTTAGGCCATGTCCATACTACTCCGTTTTTACTCCGTATTTGCTACGTTTACACTGAGCGGCCACACTACGCCGGAGTTTTGGAGCACCCTAAACGGAGGAGTCTGAAAACTCCCCCGAGGTTGGAGGTATTTGAAAACTCCGGGGTTTTGGTTGAGTGTGGACGGTCGGAAACGGATGTGTGTTAGAAAAAATGAGCCCACACCCATGTTCGCTACTGGATTGGTTATTAGCAGCCATGACGTCTCCGTCCCTGATTCGTTACACTCACTATCACGTGACCCGTACCCGGAAGAAAACAAACAGCTAGGGCGACCAGTAATTAAATTCAACATGGATAACTAATTTCAAGCATTGCTGCTAGCACAACAGCTAGCAGCTGTTGTGCAGTAAAGTCCGCATTTCTGTGGAGGAAGCAGCTGTTGGACCGATTAGCAAGCGCCGTGACCAGCGGCGTCATCAGCCCTATTAAGCGGCCAAGCCAGTTAGCCGTAAATGCTATTCAGAGCTACGAGTTACAACAACAACAGTTAGTGCCTCGTTGTTTTTAGATTCTAATGAGAAGACACGGCGCTTCGTTTTACTTCTTCCGTTTGGTAGCCTTGAGAGACCTTAGTCTGTAAGTATGTCTGTATGAAGCATGAAAAGATGTACGAAGATATATTATATTCGCTAATGCTAATCGAGGTTAGCATTTCCCCATTGGCGGTAATGTTAAAATTAGCTTAGAAGCTAGCTAGCTACTCGGACATGTTACATGATGTTCAGAGCTAGAGTTGTGCCCTAAAAGATGGAGCAATTCCCCAACGCCCTTGATAGAGGGCGAAGATGCTGTCCCCGTTTTTCTGCTGGGTGACCCAGCTTATCCCCTGATGCCGTATCTCATGAAGGAATACCCCAATGGCGGAGCTACACCACAGGAGCAATAAATGCTATTCAGAGCTAGGAGTGACAAACAGACAACACAGAGGAAATGAGTGAGAGACGAGTGATCGACGTGTGTTGACCACATTTATGGACCCATAATCTAGTAAACGTGTATGTGTTGATTTTAAAGTAAAGTTGATGAGAGAGAGAGAGAGCCGCAGCGCTGTAACTACGTCTGAAAAATAAAACTTCTAAAACTTTCCACGAACTGTGTCCGTTTGAGTTTATAGAGGAAGATCTTAAGTATCAAATACAACCTTTCATTATTAAAGACTACTTTATTACTCCGTCGTATTTTGTTTAACTAAGCAACCAATCCACTTCCTGTTTTCACCGTCACGCGCATGCCCAGTGTACGTTAATGGTCACGTGCTGTCCGCCTTCGAAGGCTGCCGTGTGGATGCAGATCAACTCGAGAATGATGCTGAAACTCCCGTGTGGACGGAGATCGTTTCTATTTGACAACTCTGCATCCAAATAGAAACTGAGTAGTATGGATGTAGCATTAACAGTCCAAATGTCTCCATGACAGACCTCACACATGCACACAGAATAAGACGAGTACTGACAAAACAAACACTGTCAGCTTCAACCATCCTCCATGATTGTCTCTGCAAAAAAACACGTCTTTAAATCCAGGAGAACGTTCAGCCAATCTCCAGACAACTCGGCATGCCTCGAATGCTAAATCTGATATGCAATCTCATTTGCTGCTTAGGGAATTCAAACAGTTTCCGTCTGACTGGCGCAGCTTCGTGAACAGCATTTACACTTTCTACAAACACCATTTCTGACCCCAAAATCTGCTGTGCTAGCTTTCTATGCAGTGGCCATTGGTTGTCGTTTTTTAAATCAAGGAAACACTTTTCTACGACTTCCCCGTTGACTTTCAATACATCAAATCAGTTGGGAGGCTCCTGTGCCATAGAGAACAGAGGTGGTGTTGAATTACAGGTAACGGATTACATCAGCTGCTGTTTTGTTGAAATTAAACAGGCAAAAGCTAAATTAAGCTTTTTTGTTTGAATGCCTTGGTTATCCTGAAATTAACTATATAATAGTTTGATATTATTAAAGCTGTAATAATTTCCAGGATGACGTATGACGAAAGTCTGGACACAGAGTCGACAAACGTGACAGCTACAGTGGCTTGGAATGGCAAGGGGCACTGAATTTGATGAATTTACTGTTTATCGGGCCACAAATTACAACTTGTGAGAATACTTTGCAAACTGAAAAAATAAAAACAGTGGACTCTGGAGAGAGGTGAGGAATTGACCTTGCAAGATTAGGACTGAATTAAAACCGTAGATGGTGTTTTGAGCCATTTTCAACCATAAAATGCGGATTACTATAAATTTGGTAAAAATGTGAACAATAACACCAACAATGATGCATTTCATCAAAGTACAGTTATATCATTTAGTCCTGCTTAAAAAAATACATTTAAGTATGCAGTTACTCTTTAAATAAACAACCAAAACAGTGAAGCTAAGCTACGATGGTGGACCAAAATGTTGCTTAATTGCTTGCCCACCCAATCCGTGAAACTCGAAAATCAAATGCTTACATTTAGAGATGAGTGGGGTAAAAAAATGCAGACGCAGGAAAAACAATACTAAAGTTAAATGCAATAGAAGAAATCTCAGAAAACAACGAGGACAACGCAGCATGGAAAACTCCTGACCACACTGAGGCAGTGCTAGCTAACAATAGCAGAGACATAAGACATCTCAAGAGCTCCGAGACAAGCTAACAATATTCAAAGATGAACTTGTGACTTCAATAAAACAAGAAATTGCTACTCTCAAGACAAAACATTGACCACAAACTCCTGCAGAGTAACAGAGTTACAGGAGCAAAAGTCAAGCAGAACTGAAGCTTAGGTGGGCAAACCACTTGCAAGTGAAGATAATGAGCCAGACGCTAAATTAAATAACTGAACTTTAAGCGAGGTCACAGAGAAATTATACAATCTCCAGGGATCCAAACGAGGTAGGGCACAATGGACGGAAAAGTTAAGCGCGCCTATGAGTTGATAAGTCATAGCCGTTTAAGATGCGTTTAATTCATTAGTTAGTTTATGTTTTTTCATGCTGAATGTCTTATTTCCAAGAAAATTATGAGCCCATCTCTGGTAAACACAAGATTTAAAGTGATGCTTTTGCATGATTCTTTGTGCATGATTCTTTTAATTGACAGATTTTTACAAATCTGTCAATTAAATTTACTAATCTGTCGGTCAAAGAATTTCTTTGGTTGAGCACAGCCCGAGAAAAGTTACAAGAATACCAAAGGAGATCCTAAAGTGAATCATTTGCCAGAAGAGGAAATATGGCTCCAAGACAAGCGGGTTACACTTCAGTGAAAGAGATGCTGGAAAAACTGAAAAAGGAGAAATTGTGTATGTATATTTAAGCTACTCAGCGAAGAGTAAAATCAATTTTAACATGGATCCATTCCTACACATTGGATTAATGGGACGGTGAAATTAAGACCGTGACCCACTGTTGGATTATTTTAATACTTTGTTGATGAACCAGTTACTCTGATAAACATATAAGCACTAGGGCTGTGCAAGAAATATCGATATAGCTTACGATTGCGATATGTTTTTTTAAATGACAGTGTAAAATATGCCCGCGACTATAGATACTTTTTTTTTTTTATCCCGTTTTAAACAGATTAAAATGTCCTTTAAATTGAATCCCTGTGTGTCTAACAACCTCCTCTCCCTCTCCTGTAACGCTAGATGTAGCTGCTCATTCCCTTCAAAGCTCAGGCCAGTGACCTCCCGGCCTGTCACACGATCCGGCCAAAATCACAACATGGCGCCTCACAAGCAAGCGGCAGTATACTGTGGAGCGGCGGGATGTGATCCCTAATCAGTCCTGCCGACACATGATGGATGTAGCAGTGTGGTGTCCAATATTTACAAAGAGGTGACAAAATGTGGGAAAACATGGCTCCCCCTGCAGAGAAAGTAGCTCTGACATGCGATATGTGAACGAGTAGACCACCGATTCGAATGTTACGATTACATCCCCACGGGAGCCGGACAGGCAGTAACATCACAGTTACACTGAAAACTGAATCTTAAGAGAAACAAAATACAGTTAGCACAGTGTGTAAAGCTACCATTAGTCTCAACCCTCTTGAAAGGGACTTCACACAGTCACTCAAGTAGTAAGGCAAGTACTGAGTAATAAGTGTAGGATCAGAGGGGCAGATGTATCAGATCACAATGCCTTATTTTATCTAGAAAAATACCGCAGTAACACATCCTGCACAAATGTTTCAAATTAAAAGTCTTTCAGTGACTCAATAAAGGCAGGGTTGGTAGCAT